GGGGGGGGGGGGAGTATGTGTGTTTTGTTGATGAAATATAATTTAACAATAAAGTCATAGAATTTCTTCTCATAAAATTTCTTCTTTTATCAAAACAAAAAACAATAAAGTCATAGAATATTATAATAGTATTCAAGATCCCAGGGGATAAGTGATAAAATACATCCCAAACTTATAATAGTTTATGTCGCTCATATAGGGACCAGACCACACAACGGTGTTTTCAATCAAAAATTGAATGTACTCCTTGTTAGAGTACATTAGAGTATTAATATTAAGGGTAGTTTTTTCTTTATCCAGTGTTGCCCTACTATATAAGGGCTTCATTGTGTATTTTAGGTTTATGAAGCATTACAGACTTCTTTAAGCTGTAATAATATTCTTTTTTCTCTCTCTTTGTTGTTCGCTCAGTTCTTGTTGTTTTGATCAATTTATCATGGTATCAGAGCATGTTTTGGTCCCAAACATGAATTACTGTCCTATAGCACTTTTCGGAGAAAGAAACTGAAGAAGTTAGAGCTGATATCATTTGCTGAATGATGACGTCAGCAACCAGACACTATCGAAAACTGACGTCCGCAACTAGACACCACCGGAAACTGACGTCAGCAACTAGACACCACCGGAGACACCTACCTGCTCAGATTCTCATGGGTAACAACATGGTATCATTAGTTTTCGAGTTGAGATCAGTTTGTTGGGTTGTTTATTTTTCGAATCGTTTTGAGAAAAAATTCTCATAAATTTTGAGATCTGCGAATTTGCTTGGATTTCTTCAAGTTTTCTAGTTCAAATCTCTTCCAAAAGGTGCGAACTAGGGTTCTTGGTGTTTGGCACAAAGATTCAAAGCATCTTGAACTGATTTGCGACGAAATCTTGGTTAATCTCTTCTCGGCCTCTGTTTTCTCCGCTGAACAGGAGCAACTGTGTTCCTGTGCTGTGGGTTGGTGCTCTTCTTCCTCTTCAAGCTGCTGCTGTTCTTGTTGATTGGGTCATGCCACCGACCTGCTGCTGGGGTCTGCTCGGTACTCGTGCTGCTGTTCTTGGCTGTGTTGCTCTTCACGTCACCCCTGATTTTCGTTGGCCTGCTGAGCATACATGCTGGTTTGCATGTTGGTTTCCTCTTCATTTAATTTTTGGTTTGCTGGTTAGTAGGCTTGGGTTTATTGGTTAACATTGGGTTGCTTGGATCGATTATCTTTGATTTCTTGTGACACTTGGTTTTGATCTTAGTTTCTTGGGATTTAGTCATGACAAGTGGAGGCTCAGATTCTCTTCAAACCATCAGTGTAAAATTAGTGGGTGGAAATTATACTTATTGGGCTTATGTTATGAAAAAAAAAATTTGTTCGGCAATGACGTGGAATTACATTAGTGTTGCTACACAAGCTTCGATTGATCCTCAGACAGAAAAATAAAAAGATTTGAAAAGTACTTGGGATATCAACAATGCAAAAATTATTACTTTGATCAACAACTCAGTTGCTCAGACCATTGGGGTTCTCATCTAGCTAAGTTTAACACAACCAAGGAAATTTGAGATTATTTGGCTACACTATTTGTTCAGTCTAATTTTTCAAGAGGCATAAGCTAGAGCATAAGATTCGAGATGCACGTCAAGGAGACAAAAACATACAAGAATTCTACTCAATTAAGACCAGATTTTGGGATCAGTTGGAATTTACTGAACCCGCTGAACTGAGCACCAATTCAATATATTGCACTTTTAAAAAGGAACAGAGGCTAGTGCAATTCTTGATGGCACTCAGAGATGATTTCAAGGAACTTTGTGGTTCCATTCTTCATCGTCATCCACTCCCTTCAGTGGATGTAGTTGTTGATGAGCTCTTAACCGAAGAGTTTCACCTTCAAAACCTTTCTAAAAAGCGGAGTTCCTTCATTGCCCAAGTAGACTATATTGGTTGTACCTTCCAAGTGACCTCTAATTTCCCAAAAAAGTATCGAGGTCAAGCTACTTCCGATGAGTGTAGCTTCTATCGTGAAAAGGGTCACGAGAAGGCCCAATGTCCTAATTCGCAAACAAGAATGCACGAAGGTCACAAAATCAGTCCTTTAAGTCTAGAGATCATCTTATAGCAGTTGTTGTACCACCCATGGATGAGTCAACCTCACCAGTTTTCAGTTTGACTCTGACTATACTTGTAGATCAGTTGTAGAAGTTTCTCTTTCTCCATTAGTCTGACACTCTCACAATCTCTCCCTCTGTAGGTTCGTTTACTTCAGGTCCTTCAGGTATATCTCAAACTGCGTGGATCTTTGACTCAAGTGCCACACATCATATGACCAATGATTCCTCTTTATTTGCATCTATTATTTCTTCTCCATCTATATTTGTACTTGTCGCTAATGGCACTCAAATGACGTTAGCTAATGTTGGAACAATAATTTCTTCCGAACTTATACTTTCAGATGTTTATTACATTTCTCAGCTTACTTTGAACTTAATTTCAACTAGTCAACTATTTGATTTTGAATTTTTGGTTCATTTCTCTTCTTCTGGCTGTATTGTGCAGGATCCACAGTTCAAGAAGCTAATTGAGACAAGTCGTAAAAAGGGAGGACTATACGTGTTAGAGGAGCTTCATGCCCCAGATATTGTTATTTCTCCAGTCAATTTATCTTCTTTTCGTTTGAGTCCAAAGTCATCTACTTTTTATTTATAGCATTCTCGTCTTGGTCATGTTTCTTATTCACATTTGAAATTTTTAATTTTATGGATCGTTTGGGTAGTTTGAAATGTCGTAACGTTTCTGATTGTAATGGCTACAAGTTAGCTAAATTTACTGTTTTACCCTTTAATAAAAATATTACTAGCTTTCTTGCACCATTTGATCTCATTCTCTCTAATATATAGAGACCTGCTCCTATTCCTACATAAGGAGAGTCCAAATATTATGTTTCGTTTATTCATGACTGTACCAGGTACAGTTGGGTATATTTGATGAAACGATGATCTGAATTCTTCTCTATATTCACTACTTTCTGTGCTATGGTACATACCCAATATTTTTCTGTCATTAAATATTTTTGTTGTGATCAAGAAGGTGAATATTCTCTCGCCTCTTTTCAAGATTTGTTGAAATGTGATGGTACTATTTATCAATCTTTTTGTACTGATACACCCAAACAAAAAGGAGTTGTAACGCGTAAACACCGAAACATTATAGAGATTACTCGCTCTCTGTTACTATCTGCACGTGCTCCCAGTTCATTTTGGGTGACAGCAATTCTTACCACAGTTCATTTGATTAACTACATTTCTACTATGATTACTTCTTGTTTTCCTCCATTTGAAAAGTTATGTGGTAAGCCTCCTGATTACTTCTCCTTACGTGTTTTTGGTTGTACTTGCTTTATCTTCCTCCCTATGTTCTATGTACCAAGTTTTTTGCTCGATTGTTCTTATGTGTATTTCTTGGTTATAGTGAGGGTAAAAAAGGGTATTGTTTGCTATGATCCTATTGGTAGCTTTATGTCTCTCGCCATGTTGTCTCTATAGAACACATTCCTTTCGATTCCCTCATGTTCTTCATTTGTGCATAAATTTGATTTCCTTTACACTGATCCCTTTCCTACTAATGTTCCCAAGCATACATATGTTAGTGATTTAATTGTCTTCTTTGCCCTCCTCTTCTTCTTCTACCTCTTCTGATTTGTCTATTACGTGTCCCCCTATTGTGCATACTTATGTTCTCATGACTCTTGTCATCCCTTTTACGGATGCAATGCCTCCCTCTTCTACTTATGTCATTCAAACAGGTTCTGACATTATGAATCATCTTTCTCACTATCCTCAGCGCTCTTGAAAATGTCCAAATAAGTTTGGTTTCTCCAACCCTTATTATTCTTCTTACTTTTGTGTTTTTCTCACTTTTATTCATCCTTTGTCTGATCCCACCTCCTATAAGGAAGTTGTCCTCAATCCTCTCTAGCAATAGGCAATGGATGAGGAACTATCTACCTTATTACATAAGATCGGAGCTTGGGAATTAGTTTCTTTACCTACTAGCAAATACACCATTAGTTGTATAAAAACCAAATCAGATGACATTGTAGAAAGATACAAGGCTCGGTTAGTAACAAAAGGATTCGCTCATAAGTATGGGCAAGATTATGATAAGACTTTTGCACCTGTTGTCAAGATGGCCACTGGTCGTGCTATGATTATTGTAGTTGCCATTCGCCAATGGCACTTGTTTCATTTTGATGTGAAAAATGTTTTTCTTCATGGCAACTTATCTGAAGAGGTTTTTATGACTCCACCTAAATTGTCTTATAATCTTGAACAAGTATGCACACATTACAAAGCATTATATGGCCATAAATAGACTCCTAGGGCATGGTTTGTCAGGTTCTCATCAGTTATCTGTGGCTTGAGTTTCCATGCCAATGATCATGACTCTGCTCTTTTTCTCCAATCTACTTCCTCTGGTTCTATTATTCTTCTACGTTATGTTGATGATATGATTATTACAAGTGATGATACTGTTGGCATCAACCAATCATTCCAAAATTTGAACATTTGTCGTCAAATACTTTAAAAGTACTCAATTTTGACTTAACATCTAATTGTAATAGAGTCAATTGGTTTGACATAAGCTATAGATACAAATTATTCAACTCAAATAAATTGTAAATCATTCTCAAAATTTCAGACCAACACCACTCTCCTTAAGACATGTGAATCCACTCATATTCTCAATTTAAAAAAAAAAATAATTCTCCATGGGAAGTTTTTAAGGAGCTTCCAACCAGTTTCTTGTTTTTAAGGAGTTCTAACTTCTAATGATAGGCAAGTTGTTTCATATACTTCAACTCCACAGCTATCACCTAATTCTGCTGATGTCCTACCCCTTGAGCCATTAGGTAGTTTATCATCTTTTAATTTGCCCATTGCATTGAGGAAATGTACCCGTAATTCTACAAAGCATCTAATTTCTAATTTTGTTTCTTTACATCGGCTTTCACCATCCATTCATTGTTTTGCATCGACTCTGTCTTCGATATTTATTTCCAATTCTTTGAAATAGGCATTAACATCTCCTGATTGAAAACTGGCTATGGATGAAAAAATGAAAGCTCTTAATGAGAATCAAACATAGGGCCTTACTACTTTTCCTTATGGTAAACAATATGTCAATTGTTGTTGGGTCTACACAGTAAAATATCATCCTGATGGTCCAATTGAGCATTTAGGGGCCCATCTGGTTGCCAAAAGTTACACCCAAACATATGGTGTAGATTATTGTGAAATTTTCTACCATGTTGTCCATCTTAACTCTATTAAAGTTCTTCTTTTGTTTGCAGTGAGTTGTGATTTGGCCTCAAACATAAAGAATATTTTTTTACATAGAGACCTACCAGAGGAAGTATATATGGTACAACCTCCAAGTTATGTTGTATCTTGTAAGGAACAATTAGTGTGTCATCTGAATAAAGCACTATATTGCCTCAAACAATCACCACGTGTTTAGTTTGACAAGTTCAGTATTGTTGTACTTCAGTATGGTTTTTAGCATTGTACTTCGAACCATTCAGTTTTTATTCATTGTTATTTTGCATGTGTTATTATTTTTATTGTGTATGTTGATAACATTATCATTAGCGGTGATGACTTGGATGGTATTGCCTACTTTAAAATTCATTTGGGGAAGCAATTTCACACCAAAGTTGCTCGATCAAAGAAAAGTATCAATTTATGCCAACAGAAATATGTATTGGATTTATAGTCTGACACCGGTACTCTTAGTACACATCCAGTTGAAACTCTCATGAACTCCATGATTAAGTTGAATGCTGATAGTGATGAAGTTTTTTATGATGTAGGACATTATCCAAGGTTGGTGGTAAACTAATTTACCTCAGTTACACATTGTGATATTACCTATGTTGTTGGTGTGGTTAGTCAATTCATGTCTGCTCCTCGTAAGATCATTGGAATGCTATTTGTCTGAAAGGAGCAACAGGTAAATAATTATTATATCATTCTTCACCCTCAGAGATTGTTACTGATTTCTCTGAAGTAGAATAGGCAAATAGTAAAAGTGGTAAATAATTATCAATTCTTGGTTTGTTAAATACGTGTTTTAATGTGAAAAATACATAGATTCTTGATTTCTAAATCCCTACTCTTGATTAAATTACATTTCAATCGAATACTTGTTCTTGTTCCAAAAAGTTGTGAGTTGACTTTCTTAATGTGATCTCTTACATATTTTAATTTCATTAATATTATTGTATATTAAAAATTGTAAAATTGTGATACATGGATTTGATGAACCCTATGGTTGGTTGAATATACGTTTTGATAAAGTTGTAGTTTTTATCTCTTGTACAATTTGGCTGTGACGGACTTGGATTACCTTCGAAAGCTGACGTAGAATATTAAAGGTTAGTATATCCCAGTGGCGGTAAGAAGGTTGCCTAACACTTGTAGTGGATTGTTTCCTTGAAAGGTCAACCACTATTGTTCAAGAAAATATTTCGAGGCTAAGGGAAAGTATACCTTTCCTGGAAAGGATTTGTCAATGTCGTGTGAAACGATATACGTCACTTCTAAAATAGTTTGTGATGTGGCCTAACGGGAAATGATTAAGATTGTTTGTATTGTTGGTGGGTGAACAAGGTAGAATCGTCGTGTAGATTCCTGATAAGCAAGCAACCTACATGAGACTAATGAGATCATAGAGAAGAGAAAGGAATAGCATATGCAGTTCAAAGATGAAAATTCATCATAAAAGCTGCCTAATGTTGATTGCAAGTGAGGACACAGGACCTAGATCTAATTTCCAGCTTTTTGTAGTACTTGTAGCATATTCTACTGTTTGTGAATCCCAACTTCGACGATCGCTTGCAAATGAGCCCCCGTCTCTTTCCTATACAGTAAGCCCTCTTTTTGTATTTATGTATCCTGTTTGAGTTTCCTTTGTTCTGCAAACCTAATGTGTACATGAGTTTGACCCTTCACACTTCTAGGGTTAATATTGCTCAAAATGACCCTTCCCGGATGCCCCCAAAAACATATATTTTATACATATGTTTGGGTTGGGGGAGGAAGATTGAAAATATAGCTTACAATACCAAAAACCCTGTTCAGAACAGAACACCATTGCTACACCAGAAAACTTGCCCTAGCCACTATAATCAGTTCCCTGCACCAAGCAAACTTACCCTGACCACTATAATCACTTCACTGCACCAACACCATCATGCTACTGCCCAATGCATCTTTGACATCTAGTTTCTACACCAAGAAATCACACAGTCAAGAGATCACGAGACAAACCACTCTCTAAATTTGTTCCCCTAGCCACCAAATTTACTCCCTTCATTATACCAAATTTACTCCCTCCATCATGCCACTGCCTAATGCATCTTGGACCTCTAGATTGTACACCAACAGCTCACAAGAGGCCAAGAGATCACCCGACAGAATCACTCTCAAAATTTACTCGCTCTAGTAACTTAAATATTCTTTCTTCATTCCTTTTCTGGGTGGCAGTTTTAGCCAATTTCAGCTTTCTACATACCCAATGAAATTTCCAAGGAACAACACTACCCACATAAATAAAACTGAAAAGAAAAATAGGTCAAGGATTGCTGATTTTTTGTGTCATGATAAACTAAAAAGGCAGGAGGGGAGAAACCGTGAGGCAAAACCTAAAAGCGATTGTAGAGAAAATGGAACTTAAAACATAACAAGGTTTGTAGGAAGATAAAGATTCACTATATAGAAGCAAATAAATCAATATCATACTGCAATGAATTTAAGGCAAGAACTCAAGAAACAAATTGAATATGAACATAAAACCTAGTACTCTGAAGATAAGAACACCAGCAAAAAAATTAAAAGAAGATGCAAATGTGAAAAAGAATATAACCAGAATTTGAACAAAGGAGACAAGTGGGTGTCATTGTCTCAGAACACTCGATAAATCTGTCCCCAATTCCAGAGGGTATTGTGCTACTGTCAAGTCCAGGAATTAGGATCTATCGAATGTTATGTAAGCCAAAGTCCAAATAACAATTATTCCTTGTCGCACAAGTCTAAATGCCATTACAAATTCTCTTTTCCACTAATAGTTAAACAATTTAGCAGTTGAGTAAAATCTCAAGTTTTCAATAGCAGCTGCAAGTCCAAAGAATGATTAGTAATGCGGGTAACAAAGGTATTATTATTCATTTATTGTATTTTGCATCTTGATTCTGCAATTACAAGATATGTGGTTCACCCACTAAACCACACAAATTCAAGACAACTGAGATTCAACGGACTTTTGACTATTTGCAATTATCTTCTAACCCATGAAATTGAAACTTCAATACTCTTAGCCAAGATATTTCAGTTATTTTCAAAACTTCTATTAATCACAGAAAGTGGATAAGGAAAATGATAGAAAGCGGGGGAGCAGAGAATTTTTCAACGTACTTTTTCATATACCGGAGAAAATTTAGCAGATTAGATGCAGAAATGATGGATACTAACAATTCACAGTGACTATTAGTTGAGGATCATACAATGATTGAATGCCAGCTGACATACAATTTTGGAGAATATAAAATTAACCAAATCCCATTACACATCAGTTTTTCGTGTCGTACTGGTCCGACCAGGCCAAATGTTTATATATAAAACAGAACGCTTGGCACACCTTTATGATATATTGAAAGGAACCTACCCGAGGGGCACGGGCTCCCATTTCTTGGAATGCACGAGGATTTTGTAGAAATGCTACAACTTCATTAATTTCCTCTCTCATAGCTTCGACACTTGCAAAGTCTTTCAAACGTATAGGTGGATTCTTTACCCTCTGCAAATGATTAACAGGTATGGATTTTACAGATCAATCTATCTAAACTACTCGAAATTGCATGACATTGTTTAAATACTCTGTAAACCTTCATTTGATCAAAAGCAGTACTTATAGGGTCGATACCATCCTTCTTCTTTCGTTTTGTTCTCCGCATCCTATATTTAAAATAAGCTTTCTGCAAAATAGCATACAAAAGAGAATAAATTCAATCTGCTGCAAACCAAAACGCCAATGTTGGAATAATAAATCAGTCAGCTTAAACAAAAGTTTCAGAGAAAAAAAGATTCCCAAAGACCAAAAAAGGTGGATAAGGAATCCAACCACAATAACAAAGATTTTTTTTTCGGAAAGTATAAATACAAAGAGTTGAAACAAACAAATTACATTAGTTCAACAAAAAAAAGGGTGCACTATTCAAAAGCAACAATCCAATTTCAATGAATGAGAAAGAAAGGGGCACCTAAGCTCTTTAGTAACGGTCCCGTTATGTAGCCAGCAATAACTCTTTCCCAAGAAACTCCCCAGATCCAGCTTTGCCTTCAATGATTCTATCATTTCTCTCCTTACTAATAACCCAAAACATTGCCGCAAACACACCATGCCAAAGTATGGAAGCCCTCAAGTTCTTCCAAAACCTTAAAATCCTCCACAACCATCAAAACACAGCAACAGGAATCCAGAATCTTTCATCAAGAGTCAAGGGATTCAAAGACACTGAATCTAACCAAGACAGCAAAAAAATTTCACAGTTTGCCTATCCTTCATATTCCTTAAAAAATGGAAATTCCACCAAATCTGAGACGACGAGGAAGATTTCATACTAGCAGTGGAAATATTATGAACCCAAGTTAAACAATAAAGTCGAGGAACAATGATGCAAAGGAATACCTCTCCATATATGTACCCAAAACCAATTTTTTCCCCTCTCCCAAAACCAAACTAATCTGTAAATCGAAACAATTAAAACACCAAGGAATTATAATTACCAGGACACCAGGAAGAACCCTTATCCACCACCTTAGAGTCCCACCTTTGAATTGAAGGTCACGAAATACCAGAAAGTGTCTGCTCAAACAGAAATCTCCATAACTTCCTCAACAGAACTACATTCCTTTTGGCCAAATTTCCCACTTCCAATCTACACCTTTAATTTGGATCTAGAAACTACCTCTGAACTAATAAGGTGACCTCGCCACTAATCTCCCATAGAAATCTCTCATTTTCTACACAATGATTTTAGCTACCCTTACAAGAACCATGAAGAAAGACAAAAAGTAATTAATTATACTAGTCAAAACACACAACGCAACCCACCCTCAGATAAATAAGCCCTTCAACCTCTCCAATCTCTTTTAAGCCTTTTCTAATAGGGATCCCAAAACCATAATGGCAAAGGTTTATAACCCAATGGAAAGCCCAAGTACTTCAAAGGCCAATCTCCCATCCCACAACCTAAACTATTTGCTAAACTTTCAAACCCCCTTTTCTAAGTGTTAATTCCTGCAACAAGACTCTTATACACGTTAACTTTCATGCTCCAAACCACAAAAATTCTTCTAGATCACGATATCTTGCCCTCATCACTTATCTACTTAACGCATCTCTAACCAAAATAAAGAGAAAATTGGATAATGGATCCCTTATCTAAGTCCCCCATATGAATTAAATCTTCCTCTCAACCATTAAGGTTGGCCAAAAAAATCCTACAACTCAAATATCCCTTAATCCACCTCCTCCACCTACACCCAAAGCCTGTACCCTAATAAACAAAATAAAGAAAGCCCCAATCCGCATGATCATGGGCTTTTTAAAGTCAATCTTAAAAGCAATCCCCTCCTTTCCTTCCAACATATAATTCTCCACAGCTTCATTTGTCACCAAAGCCACATCTAAGTTTAGTCTGATCTTTATAAAAGCTCGTTAATATTTTGTGGTATCGCCCAAAACTTCATTTAACTTCATGGAAAGAAACTTTATTAAAATTTTGCAAAGATTAGTAACCAAACTAATGGCCTGAAGTCTCTTATTCTCAAAGATTTATGTTTTTTCAAAATCCGACAAAGAAATCAAATTAGTATTCACATTGACAACTCCACTTTGAAAGAATTTTTTTGTCCTTCATTAAATCACTCTTTATAATCTCCCAAAAAACTTAAAACATTGTCATAGAAAAGTCATCCGGCCCAGGTGACTTATGTCCACAAAACTTAAAAAGCACAACTCTCACTATACTCTCGTGATGTAGATCGTAGTTAATTTGATACCAATTGACGTAGATGAAGAAGAATATAAATAGACATGAGAAAGATAACTTGAGGGAGAAAGATAACTTGAGGGAGAAAATAATCTCAATATTCAATCAATTTTAGTGCAAGTCTATAACAATCACCTAATTCCCTCTATAAATACAAAACCCAAAAGCAAATACATAATAAAAAGGAAAAATAAAAAAATGACTAAAAGATAAATATGAAATAACATCCAAATCCAACACGATCCTCATCACCTCATCAAATGATATTTCCAATCAACTCGTTTTCCTTTCACTAATAGGACACGGTACAGGATACCAATTGAAACCAGTAACTTAGATATCTCAAGATCTTGCACAAAGAAAACTTTTTTTAAAAAAACTTACAACCCTCGTCCTCAATAACAACACATTTTCCTATTTCCAACTTATTTATCAAATTATTCCACGTCCACCCATAAGCTACTTGATTAAGTAATCTAGTATAACTGTCCCTTTTTCAAACCCATCTAAACTTAGCCATCTACTTCCCTGGGATTGAGCACCACAACGCCACCTTCTCAAATTTGTTACTTCGCTCACTCCTTGCCTTTCTTAATAGATCATCCAAAACCCCCTCCACCTCCAGCATGTCTAACACATTGCAAAACTTAAGATTGAGCTCTTCTTATATCTCATATCTCCACACACTTGTATGCCAAACCATCAGTTTTTGTTTGACGAATTCCAATTTCTTCAGGAATTGAACATCTTCCTAGCCTTGTACTTTTCTCCTTGCCATCAAATTGTTATTCTTCAACAAATCAAGCTCCAACCACATATTTTCAAATTTGAAAAAAATATGATCCCCTTAAAAGAACTTGCATATAAATGATAGAACAATGGCCAGAGACGTTCATTCTAACACCTCTCACCTAAATTTGGCAACTCTCCTCCCATTCTATTTAAAAACGTTGTATTGAACCATTAGCACATTAACTCAACATGAAGATCATATAATACAAGGGTACAACTCAACTCAATTGAGCTTTGTCACAACAATTTTGGGATCGGTTATAAGAATCTTGCTTTCATCATTATGCTCTATCAAGGAGTATAATTATATTAAACCACAAGCTATTATATTCTTTTTTACCATCTCTTTTGTTAAGTCTGGAAGATTAACACAATATTTAGGGAGAAACAGAGAGAGGTTCAAAACTTAACCTAACTCTCATACATCACTTGTATTTATAATTAACTCACAATAATAAGAATTACACATACACCCTCTTACTATTAACAATTTACACATACTACCCTACTATTCTTAATACTTCCCCTCAAGCTAAACTATATATATCATATAATTTAAATTTGGAACAAATCGCTGTAAAACGTGTACGACTCAATGCTTTGGTAAACATGTCTGCAAACTGATTTTCAGATTTCATAAATGGAGTTATAATCTCCCCAGCTACTATCTTGTCCCGAATAAAGTGACAATTAACCTCAATATGCTTGGTCCTCTCATGCCCTATACTCAGCCTTAGCACTGGATCTTGCTACCACAGATTTTTTTTACTCTTCCATGAGACAACGATACCTCCTAAGAAAGTACAATAATCAATAGTTGATCTCCGATCAGAAGAAGAGTCAGCCCAATCAGCATCTGAGAAACCTTCCACTCTAAGATGTCCATTAGCTCGATATAATAGTCCAAGTCCAGAAGTTCGTTTGAAATATCTCAGAATACGAGTAACTGCCTCCTAATGTAGTATTCTAGGACACCCTATGAACTGACTGAATAGGAAACATCCGGTTGACTAATAGTGAGATAATTGAGCTTCCCAACCAATCTGCGATACCAACCAGATTCTCAAATAGTGCACCATCATCCATCAAAAGTATCTGATTCAGATCCATAGGAACGTCAATAGGTCTGCCACCCAACAAACCTGCTTCTTCTAGCATGTCAAGTACATATTTCTTCTGGGATAAACAAATATCCTGTTTAAATCGAGTCACCTCAATACCCAAGAAATACCTGAGTTTTTTCAAATTCTTAATATAAAATCGATCCTGCAAGAATATTTTTAACTTGACAATCCCCTCAGAATCATTTCTAATAATCACAATATCATCTAAATAGACCACCAATAGAACATATCCAACATCTATCTGTCTACGAAACACAGAATGATCTGTCTAACATTGAAAAAGACCAAACTCTAAAATTGCATCTGAAAACTTACCAAACCATGCCCTCGATGACTGCTTCAAACCATACAAAGATTTCTTTAACCCACATACACTCTTACCATACTCCCCCTGAGCAGTAAACCCAAGTGGCTGCTCCATGTATACCTCTTCAACCAAGTCACCATGTAGGAAGGCATTCTTGATGTCTAACTGAAACAAGGGTCAATCAAGATTAGAAACCAAAGAAATCAAGATACGAACCGAGAAAATTTTGACAACAGGAGAGAAAGTCTCCTCATAATCAACACCATAAGTCTAAGTAAAACCCTTTACAACAAGCCGGGCTTTGAGGCACTCCACAGAACCATCCGGATGAAATTTAACTACATACACCCAAAGATAACCAACAGTTCGTTTACCAAGAGATAAAGGAACAAGATCCCAAGTCCCGTTATAATGTAAGGCATCCATCTCCTCCTCTATAGCTTTCCTCTAACCCGGATCAAATAATGCATCCTGTAAATGCTTAAGAATAGATATAGTAGATAATTTGGAAGTAAAACAAGAGAAGACAGGAGACAAAGCATCATATGAAACAAAATGAGCAATGGGATGATTAGTAACACATGAATGAGTACCTTTTCGAAGAGCAATAGATAAAGAGTCTAAATTACCTGATGTACCAGGATCAAAAGGAGGTAAGGAAGACAGTACGGGCACCTCCGGCGATAGGCGAGCGAGGACAACCAGAGTAGACACAAAGAGGTAAAGTAAATAGTAACACAGTGAGCAACGGAATATCTGAAGATGAGGAAAGAGATGGTGATACAGGAGATGACCTAAAGTCCAGATCCAAAGGCTGAAAAGGTGCTGAAAAATATGGAACAGATTCCTCAAACGTGGTATTGGCACTAGTAAAGTATCGGTGCAGAGAAGGACTGTAGCAACGATACCCCTTCTGCGTGCGGGAGTAACTAAAAAATACACATTTGATAGCTCAAGGGTCAAGTTTGTCAAACCCAAGACCTAAATTGTGAACATAATAGACACATCCAAAAATCTTAGGAGTTAGGGAAAATAAAGGCTTACCAGGAAAAAGAACAAAATATGGACTTTGCCCATTTAACACAGAGGATAGCATACGAGTAATAAGGTGACAAGCAGTAAGAACAGCATCACTCCAAAAATATTGGAGAATATTCATCTGAAATAACAGGGCACGAGTGACTTCCAATAAATGACCGTTTTTGCGTTCAGCAACACCATTCTGTGAAGAGGTGTAAGCACAGGAAGTCTGATGAATAATACCAATTTTACTAAGATAAGCTAAAAAAGAATCAGATTCATATTCCTGAGCATTATCAGAATGTAAAGTACGTATACGACAACCATACTGAGTTTTTATTTCCTTATGAAATGTCTCAAATATAGAGAATAATTCAGCCCGAGCTTTCATTAAAAATAACCAAGTTACACGAGAATAGTCATCCACAAATGTCACAAAATAAGGACATTTATTAGATGAAATATTCTTTATTGGACCTCATACATCAGAATATACTAACTCAAATGGACTAAACACATGATTATTGACTCTAGATTGAAAAGACACACGGTGATGCTTACTAAGTTAACAAGCTTCACAAGAAAAAAACGACACATAACTAAGACTGGAAACTTGGCGCTTCAGATTCTGGAGAGAAGGATGTCCAAGACAACAATGCCATTGAAAAGGAGATAACAAAGTCTGTAGAGCCCGGATAGGTGAATCAAAGTCAAGGTAATATAGGCCATCAGCTTCATGCCCCGTACCAATCTTCCTCTTCGTCTTGAGATCCTAAAAGACGCAATAAGAGTGATAAAAGGTTACGGAATAATTCAGGGAACGAGTAATTTTACTAATGGAAAGTAAACTAAAAGAAAACTAAGGAACAAATAACATAAAAGATAAGGACATATCAGGACTCAAGTGAGCAATTCCCAGACCTAAAACTTTAGAACAAGTACCATTAGCAATAGTAACACTACGTGTAAAAGTAGCAGACTGATAAGTAAAAAAATATTAGACGCACCAGTTATATGGTCAGAAGCACCAGAGTCTATAATCCAAGAACTGCGAGTGAAGGACAATAAACAAGTCGAAGCAATACCTGACTGAACAAAAATAGTAGTGGGGGGAGATGGGACAACCTGTTGTTGGGACAGAAATTGAGCATACTCCTCTTGTGTAATAGTAACCGACCCAATGTCTAGTGGAGCTGACCAAGGTATGTAAGCAACAACAGAGGTCAAAGATGGAGTAAGAGACCTGGTATCTTACTTAAGTTCCATAATAGTGCAACAAATAGCAAACAAGAAGTGTTGCAATGCTGAACCAGAGGAAAGGAGAAGGCGCTGGACTAATGAACTGGAGTAGAAACTAATTGAACCAGGCTGAACCGGAGTAGAAACCAACTGCACAGGTGTAAAAACTAAGTAAACCGAACTGCAAAAGTGTACTGGACTGCTAAATCGGACTGCAAAAGCTTACTGGACGTCTGGACCGGTCTGTAGAAACTCACTGCTACTTGCTGGAATACTAAACCGGGCTGGAAAAGCGGACTGGACCACTGAACTGGGCTGAAAAAGCGGACTGGACCACTGAACTGGGCTGGAAAAGCAAACTGGACCGCTGAACCAGGCTACAAAACCGGACTGGACCACTGAACTGGGTTAGAAAACTGGTTTTTACCACTGAACCGGACCAATTGGGCTCTGCGGACCGCTGAACCGAACTGGTTAGTCTCTCTGTACTGGCCTGAATCTGTCTAAAGATGAACCAGGATTGATCCGGTCTAAGCTGAACCGTGGGCTAGACCAGGATTGGACTTAAAAAACAAATTTAAAAAAGTTGGGCTTGACCCGATCTGATCCAGACCCGACTCCAAGGGTTGGATTCCTTCTTCTTCGCTGATTAGAGTTCCAAGAGAACCCTCTGGTCTTCGACAACTCCACACGCAGAAGACTACAACAACACCTCCTCAACCACCACACACCACTATCACAAAGGATGCGACTCAATGGTGAACAGAGGTCACACCACCACCAACAACGATTACGCCACCACACCAACAAGAACCACCACAACAACACAACCACCACGAACAACGCAGGGACAATGAACAGAGACCACACCAGTGTTAATATATTTAGAATCGTTTATGCTCTGATACCATGTTAAGTTTGGAAGATTAACATAATATTAGAGACAATATTTAAGGAGAAACAGAGAGGTTAAAAACTTAACCTAACTTTCATACATCACTTGTATTTAAAGTTAATTCACAATAATAAGAATTACACATACACTCTCTTACTATTAACAATTTACACATACTACCCTACTATTCTTAACATCTTTCAACGTTAATTTGGTTCTGCCTCTATCCCTCACATTACTAACAATCGTTATCACACACCTCTTCTTCACTGGTGCCATAGTAGGTCCTCTATAAACATGACCAAACGATCTAAAGTGATTCTTTCTTAAATTATATTCTATTGGCGTCATTTCTATTGTTTCAAGAACATCTCCATTTTTACTTGTAACATTCTTAGTTTTATCACACATCCATCTTAACATTTTCATTTTTGTCACTCCTAGTTTGTAAACAAGTTGTTTCTTAAATGTCTAACACCCTGTATCATAAAGCATTGTTGATCTAATAGTTGTCTCATAGAACTGACCTTTTAGTTTAAGAGATACACGTCGACCACATAATACAACCAATGCATTCATCCATTACTCCATCTTGGTTTAATTCTGTGATTAACATCATCTCAAACCTCTCCCAATGAATAATTGATCCTAAACATCTAAGGTATTCAATCTTTAATATCTCTTAATCTTCGATCCTTTACTACCTCCTTATTTGATTTTCTAGTTGTGCTAAAATTACACTACTCATATTCATTTTTATTCTAATATTTTTTGTTTCTAAAGCTTCAATTGTATTATTCAAAGGTACATCCCTCAAATTGGTTTCCTTGATGTAAGCATTGAAATCACACATGCTTCTAGCCACCCTTCCCCAATTCAAATTCTCATTTGAATACGTAAACATTAAATATTCCCCCTAAGCACCAAAGGACTGCATAAACCAACAATTTGGAGCACCATCAACAATTATCTTGAATGGTATCTCCTTCACCTATGATGGAATTAATCATCTCAAAAAATTAAATTTACATAATAAATAGATAGAACTTATCTACACAGAGCAGGGTTATTCTTATAAACGTAAATATTAAAAGTATTCATTTCACCCCTTCCCCCGTTCACCCCTCCCCCAACTCAATGTGGAACTCACATGATGACTGAAATCCAAAGGTCAAAAAACATTCCTCAAACCTAAAACCAGGGTAAACTTCTGAAATTCAGATAGTTTTAGATGCTTATAGCTGGCTGACATGGTATCATCACTAAAAAATGATGAAAAGTGTTATAGAATATAGACCCTAATCTCGTTACGAAATATTACTACAAAAAAAGGAAAAGGTAAAAAATATCGATATTTTTTTCGACACAACTGAGACGATTAGAAAAAAAAACTTATATGTACATTTTTCATAGCATGTTACAGGAGTTGTAATGGGTAGTCTACATCCAAAAGGCAAAATTAAGTAATCTCGACAAAAACGGGAAGTGCACAACCTCTGCAGGCCTGACACCCGTAGTAAAACGTTTTACTACTGAACTTCAAAAAGAAATAGGTCTCCAGGAAGCAAACACAAACTGCAAAGTACCAACTATTGGGTAATAATCAGCATTAAATTGTTTGGATAGCTTGTGTCTCTTCATGATCTACACTTTCATATCTGATAAATGTTTCATAAAGAGTGCAGGGCCTGTAGCACGGTGAAATCTGCCTTCCTAGGCACATTAGTGTGGGGATTTCAAGTTAGACTAACCAAATAGTTTTTCTACGATTAGACCTGTTCTGTTGTGAGACAAATAAAATTTATAAATTTTAGAAGTTTACTTTTGTTTAATCAATGAATATGCTAGACTGACCAAAAAAAATGGAACCCAAAAAAGGGACCACATGATGCGACAGTGAGATGGTGAGCAAAATGAAAAATAACGTCATTTGGTCCCATTTTTAGGTCAGCCTAGTATTACCCTAAGTCAATACTTGCCTCCTGGACACCGACTTCAAATGGAAGGATGTTTCTTGTGACATCATAAGGATTTACACATATACATCCTACCGAAACATTTTTTAATAGAGTAAGACTAAAAGGTTTCTGAAGCTTAGGTCGTGTATAAACATATATTTTCACCCCACAAATTACTTGTAAATGTAATCCATTGTGAGCAGAATGCTTCAATATAGGGATTCATCCAAAAGGGGTGGTGAAAATCAGAGCCTACCAAAATTCTCCGAAACAAAGGTTCCCATCAGCAAGAAAACAAATGAGAATGCCACAGGATAATAACCACACAGTTCCCATCTTTAAACTTCAGAAACATTTTTGGATTATACAAAAGCACCTAATTGCACCAGTTGAATGTAGAAATTCAGCCGTAGGAACAAAAATATACCACTCGCCGCAATTTACGAAAGTTTGGTTCTCTTCGTAACGGCCCATATCCAAGAAGTCTGGGAATTTTTCTGTTCATAAACTGGAACAAATGAATCACTACATATCCATATATGCATGTTCTGATTAAAAACCACAGATACCACTGGAATTCATCTGTTTTCCTGGATTTAAAGCTCATTTCGGCCTCAGATTGCCACTTCAAGTACCAAGTTGAGCCCACAGATTGATCTATATACTCGGGCCAAGCCATCCCCAACTGCATCCTTACCTGCAACCGAAAAGCAAGAAAATGAAGATGAAATATAAGGTGCTACTATCAAAACACCAATAAAGTGGTGTGGCTTTGGCAAAAATGGAATTTCAAAGAACATAGAAGAAAAAGAAATCCAACATTTAAGCCACAGGTTATCAGAAGCGTAAATAATTACCGGGTAAGGAATAATGAACTCCACAACAGGAAAAACAATCATCATCATTATGTCGTCATTCACATTTTTTACTTTCTCAACAACCCACTCTCTTGCATATGATACAATTCTAGTATTCCATAATCCAGTCAAGCATTTATGAGTGAGCCTAATAATCAAGAGCAACTGTTGACGAAGATCCAACTCTGAAAAAGGGATCCACATCAGCTGAACAGCAATTGGAATACCAGATGCAAGCATTCTCAAATATAACCCGTCAACCCCTCCAAAATCTTCAAACACCATTTCGCATTCCTAGATTCAGTATGATAAATGAGAATCCAAAGACAAAAGTTTGCATAAGATACAAAAAGAAACTGCACATAGTATGATAACCTTTAAATCAACATAGTATTCCAGGTCATCACCCTTCAGTGCAATGTACATGACGGCCCAATCATGCCTGATTCGAGCATTCTCCACAAGTTTCCTGGAGACAGCATAAGGAACAGCTATTGGGTCCATTTCCCATCTTTTTCTTTCTTCATTGTAACAAGTCTTTGAAGCAACTCTATCCCGATCTAGAAGGATGCGTTCCTAGAATAAACAATTAAGAACTGTAGGTCATTGTAAATCCACTGGATTAAATGCATCTAGTATCACGTGCAAACAATCCAAAGTAATACTATAAATATTGATAAAATATAATTTCACCTCCATAACATAATCCAAAGTTTTATCCTTGAGATCAAGAGATACTCTGAGTGGCACTATTTCTGAGTGTCAAGGGGCCTTTATTAGGAATAGACAGATTCTTGATGGTGCACTTGTCACAAATGAGGTTGGGGAGAAGTAAAGGGATAGAGGAATTGAGGGTTTTGTTTTCAAAATTGATTTTGAGAAAGCATATGATCATGTAGATTAGGGTTTTTTGGATTATGTTATGGAGGTAGGTGGATATGGATTCTTGGATGTTTGCACTCTATGAACTTCGCGGCTATGATGAATGAAAAAACCTATGGGTAGGTTTAAGGTATCTAGAGGATTGAGACAAGGCGAACTTTCATTTTCTTTTCTCTTTACTATAGTTTTTTTTTTTTTTTTTTGATAGAAGAATAAAATTTCATTTCATAGAAAATGAAAGTGAACAAAAATAGTGGATAAGGAATCCACTTGCAAGGACAAAAAACAAAGCAAATTAAGAACTACAAAAAGTTTTTCCAGTAATGTTATAGTACTAAAAGAGAGGTGTCACGAAACTCATTGGTAACCACGGCCCAAAAAAAAGCCAAAAACTTCACTCTATCCCATACTATCTCTTTTTCCTCCTCCTTATCTTCTAAAATTCGGTGGTCCCTTTCAATCCACAACATCCAAAAAATGGCCAGGAGCGATAGGATTTCGAATTCTCATTTATAGTTTGCTGATGATACAATATTTGTTTCAAAGGGTGAAAGACGATAAAATTTTAAATGTTAAGAATATTGTTGAGGTGTTTAAATTGGTCTCGAGTTTGAAGGTAAATATGGATAAGAGTGTACTTGTGGGCACAAATTCAAATCAAGAAAAGATTAATATGATAGCAATACTTTTGGAGTGCAAGGCACTAGAATAGCCTTTGAAATATTTAGGGTTACCATTGGGAGGAAATCTACTATCTTTATCTTTTTGGGATCCGATGGTGAAAAAAATTGGGAAAAGATTAGATGGGTGGAAGAAAGCCCACATATCTAAAAGAGGGAAGTTAACTCTTGTCCAGTCAGTTTTAGCTAGTATTTCCTTAAACTTTGTCTTTATTCAGATTGTCAAGGAGAGTTGTTATAAGAATCGAAACAATGATGAGGGACTTTTTATGGGTAGATAGTAACGAAGGGAAGAAAGATCTTTTGATTAATTGGGGGATGGTTTCCAGGATAAAGGGGGTCTTTCTATTGGTAATTTGAAGACAAGATATATTGCTTTAGTGGGTAAATAGATTTAGAGATTTCCTTTAAAGTTCCTTGTGACATTTATTTATCAAGAGTAAATATGGGTTACAAGCAAATGGATAGGGCGCTAATAGGGTTAAGAGGGGTAGTTCTCGATGCCCATGGAAATTCATTTTTCAAAGATTGTCAAGGTTTTTCCAAGATGTTAGCCTTGTGATAGGACATGGAGAGCGAATTCATTTTTGGGAAGATGCATGGATGGTAGAGTATTCTTTGTCATTTATGTTTCCTCGTCTATATCATTTATCTCGTTTTCATGATTCATCCATTGTATCTAAGCTTCATTCACATAATCCGCCATATTTTTTGGAATTTGGGTGTCGTAGGAACCTAGATGATATAGACACTAAAGAGTTGATCTTTGGATAGAAGAAGGTGGAGATTAGAATCTTCTGGAATTTTTTCGTATAGATATTTCTTTCATTCTTTATTAGAATAAAATTCTTATCTGTCGTTTTTCTCTACTTTGATGATTTGGAATGCTAAAGAACTTTTAAAAGTGCAAGTTTTTGCATGAACAATTGGTCATGAAAAGATTAACACTAATGACATACTTCAAAAAAGGAGGCCTCATATTTTTCTCTCTCCTCAGTGGTGTGTGATGTGCAAAGGTGATATTGAAAGTGTTGATCATTTGTCTCTTCATTGCCCTGTGGATTTGAATTTGCGGTATCATTTATATAAAGAGGCGGGTTTAAGTTGGGTAACTCCAGCAACATCTGTCTCATTGTTTGTAGAAGATACAAAAGGGTTTGGGAGATTTGATAAAGGTGCTTCTCTTTGTAATTATGCTATTATCGCTATCTTTAGGGTTATTTGGAAGGGACATAATAATAGAATTTTTGAAGATCGAAATGAACATGCGGATCGCATTCATTTCTTAACATCTTTTTGAACTTCAGTGTCAAAGGCTTTCAAAGGAATTTCGCTTTTTGTTATTCAAGCTTATGGCAAGCTTCATATGATTTATAGCCTCCTTTTTACTTGTTAGAAGGAAGATAGTCTTAAAACTATTTAATATCGAAGTACAAAGTTTGAACACGGCATTCCGATATGCTGATCAATATAGAACTTCATGCATTCACAAGAATCAAAACATAATCTCTTTTTGTTCTAAAGGAGATGAATGAAACCTTGAACCTATCCCATCTTTTTTTTTCCCTTTGAGAAGCAACGAACCTATCCCATCTACTCTTCAAACCATCCCCTATACAATAATTTTACAGGAGCAACCCAACATAAGAGCTATACTCCCCGGAGTCTCACTCAAGTTAATTGGTTTTTAAAGCATACCACCAAGTTTCAGCTAATTTCAACTTTGACCCAATTCACAACCTACATGCCCTTCAAGCCCGATGGTTCTGAAGTAGCACTTGTCCCAATCCTCAAGAAAACTAAGCAGAATGAGGGGTAAAAAAAATAAATCCTTCAGTTGAGAAATCAATTCAGTAAACCACTAAAAGTGACAAATATTAAAGAAATAACATATCATGCATATCACAATGGGACAATGGAGAACTTAGACTTCCAAACCCTCTTAAAACAATGATTACATCTAACAAATAGGTCTCTTCAAGCCCATTCAACACACTAGACAAAAAGCTATCTAACAATCATACAATAGAGAAGTAATCAATGGAATTGTTAAGGTAAATTAATTACCAAATATGAAGAGAAAGCATCTGCAGTTACAGACTCAACTAAGACACTACAAAGAAAGATGGGTTCAATATAGTACACGACAATTTAAAAAAAATAACAACAAAAAAGGAAAATGATATCACCCCCAGCAAAAAATACTAACGAATAATTGGCAAAGAACTCATAAAGGAGAAAAATGCAGGTCAATGTCATATCCAATTACCAGTACTATACAGTGTAGTTAACACCTACCTGTCTTTGCGCCACATATTTTTTACCTAGTTCAACATCTTCTAACAACTTTTTTTTAAGGTCTGTTGTAGCTTGTTCACGCCACTTCTTCCACCCATTAAACAAATGGAGCCCAACAGCCTTCGGAACCACAACCTCCTTATGTCCAAACATCCACTTCAGCTCAACTTCTGGAAAACCCTTCACCACCTCATCCACTGGTGCGTTTACAACATAACGCTTTTCTTCACCAAACCTCTTCATATTTTTCTTTATACCAGCCTCAAGATTCCTCTGCATATCTCTTGAACCTTGAAGTGCTTCTTTTATGCGTTGAGCAGAAACTAGGGATCCTTGATCGAAGGGATGTCCAATATCCTCATTTTCCAAAACACTTGGCAGAATTATCTGCTCCCAGAATTGTCTTTGCGCAGTTTGCAATTCTTCCTGAATGTCAAATCTAGAATGCTTGCTAACAGAGCTTTTAGACACACTGCAAGCAACATACATCCACATATAGAATAAAAAGTGAAACATTTAAACTTCTTGTAATACTTACCATCATATATCATGCAGCCTAACAAACAAAAATATGAATATTGACAAAACAAAGGTTACACAGCATAGCACATATTGACAAAACAAAACATTGTAATCCAGAAGACTTGAAGCTGTACTTTTAATTTTCTAAGATATATATTTGTTCCATCTGCAAGTTTATAATATCATGCCCAAATGCTCATCCAAATTAAATATCATATCTGAAAGAATAGACTCCTGTGTAGTTTAACCAAAGCATACTTGACACTTTCAGAGAGTTGCAACAACTGATGATTTAGATCAGGAACTCAAACTGACAATTATACCGAATAGAAAATGTAAATCAACGGTAACAAAACTCTCTACTTTCAGGTAATAGTTAGAGTAGCAGTTAAACAGAATTCAACTTCTCAGTGTATACTGCAAAATGTCCTCCACACCCCCCCCCCAACCCAAAACACAAAACCCCACTCAAATCCCAACAGAATTTCAAAAAGAATACAAAATCTACCATTTATAATCATATGGTATCCTATTTATGATAAATAAGTCAATTATATACCATTTCGTCTTCTACTCTTCCCTTCGTAATATATTAGTCCCAATATTCAGGATGAGGTGGATTGAGATGCTCCTTAAATCCATGTGAGTAAATTTAGTTCACTCTTGTATCATTATACAATCAAAAAGTGCATAAGATTCAATTATTCTAACCTAATGTCATAACAATCAGACAATGTACCCACCCACTCTACAAATATGTTTAACAAACTTTGCAATATTTCGCGTCCAAATGAGAGCGGAAGTGTTATTTCAACGTTAAGAGTCGGAAAAACTGAAGAGATGAGGAGAGGAAGAAAAAAATATGCACACAGTACAGTAGTTGGGAAATATCTCGGAGCACTGATGAGTCTCCACTACAGATCAAAACACATATGATGAGATGCCTGGAGAACTGCATGTACACTACAGGACATCATATATATGGCTAGAATAAACATGACCACAAACTTGAAAGGGATCAAAGTCTGAAATGTACTTCCTGTACATGGAGAATCAAAGTTCAAAACCAGTGGACCAATCTGATTCAGATAGGGGAATTTTACTCGATAACTTTTAAAAATTTGCAATTTTTGTGACAAAGATCAAACTGCATATTAAAAACAATAGAGAAAGGATCACCACAGTAACCAACCTGGAACATCAGAATTTTGAGAGCTAAAATCAACTTTTCTCAAAGTTTTTATTACTTTGTAACTAAACTCTCCCATTATTATCTCAATTTCAGTACTCTTCTGAATTTCCAAGATCGAGCATGCACAGTCAATTTATTAAAACTCTTGCATTCTTCTCAAGATTGTAATTGTCGTAATACCTGTCAATGCTTTGTGTCCTTAAATCTCGAGTAAATCTCTCCACCAAGGCCTCACATTCCCTCTCTATAAATGAAAGCTCCCTTACGCCAATACTCAAAGCCACTGTCTCCTTCCTCAAAATTTGATCCTCGATCTCCCCAATCCTCTCCCATATCAAATTATAAACCTTTTCACCCTCGCTCATTTCCTCCTCCAACTTGGCAATCCGCTCCTTCACCCCTTCTTCCGCACTTCCCTTCCTCAACAAACTTTCTTCCTCCCTCTTTCCCTTCAACACCATATCAAGAATCTCATCAGACCTTTTAGCCAACCCCTCTTTCTCTCCCTTCAACACTCTCAACTCAGCGTAAAGTTCACTCATAATCTCCTCTTGCAACTCTTTCTTCTTCATTTTCACCTCTTTTAATGCCGCCTCAACATTCTTTACATCCCCATTATTGGACCTAACCTCCCCTACAGTCCTAAGTAAACCCGACACGGTTTCTAATAATCTCCTTGTACAATCTGAGTATTCATGGCCATTTTGAATGACCCCCTCCTCTTTTTCTTTACCTTTGGGCCTCTGAATTGTTTCACTGGCCACTAGAGTAGCTGCGAAGGCGGGCACTTTAAGCCCCCCAATTGGGCATAACCCAACAACAATACAGAAAAATGTGTACAAAATTGGCTTTGCAATGACCTTGAGCACGTTCTCGTGATTATAAGCAGATGGGTCTTTTCCTTTATCCACTTTTTCCCTAGATGATGATATAAATCGAAATGAGTCGGGTTTTATTGGTATACGAAGATGGGTTTGTGGTATAGTGTGTGAGAATTTGACTGGAAAAGCTGTTCGAATTCGCCGGCGTCCATGGTGATGGTATGGGATTGGAGCATATGAAGAGAAATTGAAGACAGAGTTTTGATGGGAAGGAAAGCATAGAGGTATATAGGCGGTGGCGGAAGACCATGAGGTGAAAGAAGAATACATGAAAGAGAGAGACAAGTGTGTGTGTGTGTCTTTTTGTTTGCGTGCAAGTGTTTTAGAGTAAGTGTGTGTGTGTGAGTGTGAGAGAGAGGGAGACAGATAGGAGATTGTTACTTCAAGTGATAGGTTGTTGTCGTTGGTTCACTAGGGGTGTGAGTGGAAAGGAGAGGGGAGCTAACGAAGGTGATGACTGATGAGGAACGAGGGTGCGCAGATTGTTCAAAACTGAGAGAAATAAGATTGGGGTTTGGGGGTCTGGCGGACCGCCTAACCAGGGATCCGGACCCTCTCAATTTCAACCCGTCTCAATTTGGATTCACATCATTTTTTTTTCTTTTCTTTCCTCCGTCTAAACTACTAATACAAAGAAGTTAAGTGAAAAAATTTTGAATTTCAAATTTACCCATAAACAATTGTTTAAAGTCATGTATGTAATATTATATGAAGCCTATTTTACATTCCGTCTTTTAAGGCAATGTTTTAAAACTCGGTCCGGTCCGACGGGTCAACTCAAAAAATCGATGAATCGGGTCAACCCAACAAATTTGATAAACCGGGTCAACTCGAAAATCGGTGAACTAGCACCTAAGTTGGGCCGGTCCCTTAATTGGATCGGTCCAACAAATGGCCCACTTGAAAACCGTTCAAACTGGCCTACCAAGACGGGTTGAAATTAAAGGTGTTAATATTGGGTTAGAAGAATGTCACGAAACACTACGTTTTTTTAATAGTATTTATGAGAAGTTATAAATCCTGGAAATACTTTTAAAAAGTCACCACAAACACTCTTAGAGGTCTATTTTCTCTATTAAATTTTGGATGTTAATATTGAGTTAGAAGAATGTCATGAAAAACCTTCCAGACAAATATTTTGATTTTACCTAGTAGATTGAGCTTCCAATTGAGGTTTTCCATTCCATCTCGTGAACAACATTCCATTGCTCCATCAAAAGACTTTTCCACAGTGTAATCCTTGTTCCAGAATCAGTCTGTAACCACTCTTAACAGAAAAAAATACCAGATTTGGTGTAACGCCAAACCAAACAATTTGGTGGTAGACGCTCACAAATGGGAATAGTAGCAATTTATTTTGCTTCAAACTCCAAGAAGATCTCTTGTAGTCTATTGATATCCCATCGTTTATGATGAGCCCAAAGTCAACTGGGCCAGACCCAATAAATTTACTGAGCCCAAGTCAACTAAAAGGCAGCTCAAGTCCACTTTATCGATCCAACCCAATCCAAGATCCAAGGAGTCCGAGCAGATAGGAGCCCATGGGAAAAGAGAATATCGGGATATGCATTCATAGAGATTCAATCCTACCTTAATTGTACTTACTAAAAGAGTAAAGCCCTCTCCGTCACGTCACCATCTCACTGCTTCACCAAACCTATATAATGTAAGCCCTTTCCACATGGAGGGACGTGACCTTGAGACCTTTACACCTTGGCACATATCTACACCTCTCTACACACCAAGTCTCTCTTTCTCAAAGATTGTAACTCTCTCGAAGTAACTTTATTCATCAATAAAGAACTCTGCCCACCGCTGCTATTTTCTAGAGAGTGGAGTAGGTCACCCGAACCAAACCACTATATATCTATGTGTTGACTTCATATTTACTGCTTTATCATTTATTGCCTATTAACTGCTCATTAATTACACATCTTTATACACTCAACTATTGATCTTATACGAGACCAATTTGTGTATCATCAGTTTGACGTCGTCTGTGGAAAATGACTAAGTTTTCTGCTATCTTGCTACTCCGTGGCAATCACAACCAGATCAATGAGTCAACAACCGGGAGACAACAATCCGACCCACCGGGAAGAGGCTCCGCCCCCCCTCGCACCCCCGGAACCATCTGCTACGCGCGACCCCTGTCGTCAGGCAATAACTCTTACAAACCATGTAGCTGTTAGTAAATCAAAACCAGCAAATTATTCAGTTGATGCTTGCCCAAGGAGGTGTCACCCCTTACCTCACGGGAGGAGCCCTACTGACCAAGAGTCGAATTTAGAGAGCTTAGGAAAGGCTTTCCAAAGAATGAGAATGCATAAGTTAAAAATAAATCCTTTGACATATGCATTTGGTGTTTCTACTGGTAATTTCTTGGGATTTTTGGTCCATTAGAGGGGAATTGAAGTTGATAAGAGCAAAGTCAGAGCCATCCTAAAAGCCCAAGCACTAGCCAATAAGAAATAACTATAGAGGCTTTTTGGTCAGGTGAATATCTCAAGGATGTTCATTTAAAACCTTGTAGGGAAAACAATGGCTTTCTCACCTTTTCTAAAAGCTTAAATCAGAAGTTGATTTCAAATGGGAGGACGTGCACCAAAAGGCCTTTGAAGAAATCAAAGAATATTTGACAAGGCCTCCAGTGTTGATGCCATCAAAGGAAGACAAGCCATTATAGTTGCCTATCTCAGCAAGGGAAAAGTCTATTAGTAGCCTCTTAGCACAAGATAATGATCAAGACCATGAGTAAGTAATTTATTACTTAAGTAGGAAGTTAAATAGTGTGGAATGTAATTATTCTTCCATAGAAAAGTTATACTTGGTTTTGTATTTCTCAGCAATAAAAATAAGGCATTATTTATTTCTATTTACTGTGTGCATTATCACTTAGACTGATATAGTCAAGTACATGCTTCACACGACCCTTGTTAAGAGGGAGAATGGGAAAATGGATTCTTACCTTAACAGAATACTACTTTCAATACGTGCCACAGAGGGTAGTTAAGGGCCAAACTTTGACTGATTTTCTAGTAGACCACCCAAGAATCCTCATCGAAGGAGATTTGTTTGAAATAGGCTACATAGAAATAACCCCCTTGAAATTAATGTTTGACGGGTCTAAGAATGAAAGAGGAGTAGGAGCTGGGATTATGGTAGTATCACCTAAAGGTGGGATGTTCCAATTTGCTTATCAATTGGATGAGACATGGGTTGTGTCAAATAACAAGGCTAAATATGAGGCTTTAAATATAGGACTTGAAATTGCCCAAGACATGAAAATTAACAATCTGTTGGTTGTAGGAAACTCACAGTTGGTAATTAGACAAGTGTCAAGAATATAAATGTAATTACCCTCCACTAGAAAAATACATTATAAGAGTGCAGTCCCTCATATAGGGCTTTGATGATGTTCAGTTTGAACATGTTATAAGACTTCATAATGGAAAAGTCAATGAGATGGCCAGAGTTGTGGGGCCTTAAAATCCGGGGGTCCTTTCTTAACCCGTCGATCACCCGTAGACCCAACTCTTGTTTTGCCTCGTCCTCAAATGTAAGGCTCGTAAGTTAACCCATCAACTGTCTATGCCAACGGAAATTGTATACGGATTGAAGTAAAGTATCATATTTTTCTCCCTAAAATTTGAAGCAAACACCCTCTGGTGTCTAAGATGACGACGACCTAGTGTGCCACCAACTAATCCATCCCGAGGATGACATCAAAGTCCGACATAGCTATGATCCTAAGGTCCATGATGAGTAAAATCTCTGAGATCTCTTGCTCACATCCTTGACATATCTAATTAATGCAAACCCTAGCTCCTAGGAAAGAACTCACACGTAATGACTCTTCGAGGGTCTTAACCTTTAAACTAAAATACTTTACAAACAATGCAACTATGAAAATGTGAGATGCACCCGAATCAAATAATATCAATGCCCATAAGAGAGAGATTAGAAATGTACCCTGAATCATCGATTAATCCATTTACTCATTCTGAGGTGTAATGACGTAGGCTCGCTTTTGGGTCTCTAAAGTCCATGCATGTAAACATTATCCTCAGCCTCTGATGAGCTCATAATATTGCATATTTAAAGGTTCATTACATTCATTTTAACTCAAATTTGCATTTAATTACTTAGAGTTAGTTGAATTTGTGAATAATGTGAAAATTTTGATGTTGCAGGTAATCATAGAGTAAATGATTGCTTTCAGAACCCTGCAACTATGAGTGGTGGAGAGATGAACACATTATATGAGGATTAGGAGGTTTTTAAAGTGAAATAAATTAAGGAGGTAGCAGTACTTGGTACCATAAGTATCGGTATCTAAGCTTACTCAAATTTTGGTATAGGCACCCGCACCAATTGGTAATAATACCCCACTATTTTTTATTTTTTACCGTGATCCACTTCAAATCTTAAAAATTTCAAAACATGAAAGTTGTAGATCTGGATGTTATCTATCTTGTGTCAAAATGTTAGCTCAATCAGACAATGAGATCAAAAGTTATGACAAATTTACAAAAATTGGTTCTAAGTTTGCATCCCCCTTACGACCTACTCGTAGAAGGAAACCAAAACCTACCGGTAGGTTTTGTCATCGACCTATCGGTAGGTTTTGCTGACACACAATAAAACCTATAACTCAGACTCTACTTGCTTGGAGGGCCCACATTTGCTTCTCCCATACATCCCTTGACATATTCTACATATAAGCATGCCCCCTACACCTAGGATTGAACTTTGGAAGAAAAAACATTTAAAGGAAGAGAGGGAAAAAGGGAGGCATGGTAGGTTACAGGCTAAGCTTGTCTTAGCCTGTGCAAATGTCAAATCACTTCCTATGGATGGGAAGTCTGATCTCACAGACCATATGAGGGCTGATGGACGAATATCCACTAGCTCTACACCATTATTCCACTAGAGAGGTTTTTAGGGAGAGAAGGTTCTAAAGAAGAAGACATAGTTTTAGAGAGAGAAGTTGAATTTTTGCATTTTCTTACCCATTTCACTTGTAGTAAGTTGTAATACTCTTGTAATCTTCATTTCTTGCACTTTAATCATAATTATTTCAATTGTATTTCAAGTTTAGTTATTTATTCTTGAATCTACCATGTTTATATTTAAGTTTTTCATGTCAAGCTTTTGAGTTGGGTATGAAGTGAACTTATCTTTGTAGTTTAACTTTTATTCGCATTATTACAAGTTTTAATCTTCATTTCTTTACCATATCTCTTTGCATTATGCATGTGTTTGCTTTTATTATGAGTAGCTAAGTTTTTAGTTTGCTAATCCAAGGGAGAATTCCTCTTTGGTATGCTAAATCAACCCTCCTCCATTCTTCCTCGTAGTGT